CTTATGTCACTCAGACTTGCCGACTTGCCCTGAATCACATTCCTTCTGTTTCAGCCTCCCAAGTGCTGGGATTACAGGTATGCATGCCATGCACCACAAGGTAAATATCTTGACAAGTAGTTTTCCTTTGTACCAGTGTGAAACCTGGTGGGTAAAAAGGTGCCACTCACAGCTCAACAACAAGAAGCAACTGACACATAATAAGGAATGAATTCAAACTTGGGAGCGCCCTGGTGTGTTCAACTTAAGAAAGTGAAGAGCTCACAGGAGGAAACCTGCTCACATGCTGTCCACTTTATTCCCAATGAATTGAAATTTTCAACATAAAAAGTAAAAGCACAGAAGTACTAGAAGAAAGTATGAAAGAGGGTTTATAAATTGAATTGCTATTAACTGTGCCTGGAGAAAGATTTGCAACATAAAACCAAGGCAAGAAGCTGCTATGAAGCAGGTGCTAGTGAACTCACCCATGCAAAAACTAAACACACCCAAGGTTGAGCACTGTAGCTCACACCTATAATCTCCACTATGGAGGAGGCAGAGATCAGATCAGGAGGTTCTCGATTCAAGGGCAGCCTACACTAAAAGTTAGCAAGATTGCATATCAATTAATAAGCCAGGCATGGTGGTGCACATCTGTAATCCCAGCTGCACAGAAGGCCTGGTAGGAGAATCAAAGCCCAGGCTGGCCCAGGTAAAATGCAAGATCCTATTAAAAAATAAGTAAAGCAAAAAGGACTAGGGGAGTAGTTCAAGGGGTAGAGCCCGCCTAGCAAGTGGGAGACCCTGAGTTCAAACCCCAGTACCACAAAAAATAACTAAGTAAACACATCCAAAGAGGGGTAAAATAATTTAGCAATATTAAAAGATAGATGATACATCGTGGGGGGCTGCTAAAGGTTAAGCCTTCATACACAGGAAGAGCTAAAAGAACAGAACAGCAGTCATCCAGTAGGAGACACTGGCAATGAATCTGAGCTGGCAATTTGCAAAAAGAAAAGAAAACAAACAAATTAAAATGCCCAAACATGAACAGCAAAGACTATTAATCAAAGAAAATCAAAAGTACTAATGTTATCCTGTTATTTCTTAAGGGAGAGGAGAGAGGAAGAAAGGGAAGAAGGAGGGAGAGAAGGAGGGAAGGGAGTAGGAGGGAGGGAAGAAGGACAAAGGGAGGAGGGAGGAAAGAAGAGAGAGAAGAAGGAGGGAAGGAGAAGAGGGAGGAAGGGAGATGGAGGAGGAGAGGGAGGAAGAAGAGAGGGAAGGAGGAGAGAAGGAGGACAGGGAGGAAGAAGGAGGAGAGGGAGGAAGAAGGAGGAAAGGAGGAGGGAAGGAAGAGAAGGAGGAAGGAGGGAGGGAAGGAGGAGGGGAGGAGGACAGGGAGAAAGGAGGGTGGGAGGAAGGAGGAGGGAAGGAAGAGAGGGAGGAAGGAGGAGGGAGGAGGAGGGGAGGAGGACAGGGAGAAAGGAGGGCGGGAGGAAGGAGGAGGGAAGGAAGAGAGGGAGGAAGGGGAGGGAAGAAGGGAGGAAGGGAGGAAGGAGGGCAGGAAGAAGGAGGGGGGAGGAAAGAGGGAGGGAGGAAGGGGGAGGGAAGGAGGAGGGAAGGGGGAGGGAAGGAAGAGAGGAGGAAGGAGGAGGGAGGAAGGAGGAGAAGGAGGGCGGGAGGAGGAGGAGGAAGGAAGAGAGGGAGGAAGGGAGGAAGGAGGAGGGAAGGGGAAGGGAAGGAAGAGAGGGAGGAAGGAGGGAGGGAGGAAGGAGGAGAAGGAGGGCGGGAGGAAGGAGGAGGGAAGGAAGAGAGGGAGGAAGGGGGAGGGAAGGAGGAGGGAAGGAAGAGAGGGAGGAAGGAGGGCGGGAGGAAGGAGGGAGGGAGGAGGAGGGAGGGAAGAGGAGGGAGGGAGGAAGGGGGAAGGAAAAGGAAACATTGCAAACCACCAGAGTCAGGGAGGGTTAACAGCAGGGAAGTTCCTAGGCTCTTGGAGCAAGTCGTTCCTCACTGCTCCTCTGAACACAACGGGCACAAAGAGGACAGGGCCTGAGCTGCCCCCATACCAGCCCCCCAAGCTCAACAGGGGCTCTGCCATTTGTAAGAGCTCCCATTGAATTCGACACCCAGCCCAGATGGAGATGCTGATGCGAATTTAGCCAAATTTAGCCAGCAATTGATGTTCTGGGTCTTCAAGACATTGATGACATGGCTAAATAAAAAATCAGGTTACAACAAAACAGTACATAGAACATGATCCCGTTTCTGTGAAAAGGAAAGGGGAAAAGGCAAGGCTGAAGGTGTGACTGGTCTTCGGTGTCCTAGAAGAGGCTGTGGAGATGTGTGCGATGTTCACTTGAGCAGACCTCAAGTGCTGAGCTACAGGCTTCCTGGCATAAGGTATAATTCTTTTTTCAAATTTACACATTGCATTAGAAAAACAAAGGGTTTTTTATTTATTTTAAAAGCAGTGACTTGAGCATCGGAAGCCCCTGTTCTGCCCCAGAGAATCCTCCCTTCTCTCCAGTGTTCTCCACAAGGCCCAGGCTTCTCAGTGATCAGCTACTCCCTACAATGCCACATTGGGTCCAAGATGACAAGCCGTGGCCGCTGAGACGGGCCAGTGCCCCGCCAGGTTCCAGAGCCGCTGTGGGAAGGGGCAGGAAACCCCTCAGAATCCCGGACAGCAAGCCAGTGAGTAATGAGGGGCTCCCCTACACCAGGCAGCTCCGAGCCACAGCAGCAAGAGCTGCAGGTTCACCCCCGGAATTAATTTCTTGTCGCAGAAGTCAGAGAAGGGGTAGCGCAGGGGGCATGAGGGCTGAGGGGGACCAAGGAGCCCTCAGTGTGAGGAAGAGGCAGAGAATCCATTCGTGCACCAAGCATCTGCTCCGGATCCGCAAGGGTTAACAGAAAGACCATTTAAGGTGGCACAAGCACAGCTAATAGCTGAAATTTACCTGGCACTTTGTTAAATTGCCCTCCTGTTTTACTTTTTCCTTCCTTTTCTTTGCATACCAAATTTGATATATTAATTAGGTGTTTTAATCTAAAAAATTCATCAGAGGTCTCTCATTACCATGGCAACTGTGCACTTCCAGTACATGCAAGGCACCAGCACAACAAGGTCGCCTCCTTGGGCCCCAGTGCAGTGGGGAAAGTAGCAGGGCAGTGAATGCTGCACCCTGGCCCCGGTCCCTCCCCGCGAGATGCTCTTCCTCCCTCCCAACCTCATCCTTCCCCTCAGTGCTGCACGGAACACCACGCCTGACTCAGCTGCGTGAACTAGTGAAACAGGAAAGAGGAGCGAAGTGGTCGCACACCCAGAGAACACTCTCGGGCTGACCTTGGCCTCCTGGTCCCACAAAAGCCCAGTTCAGTCCCAGCGGCGTGTTAGTGATGAGTGAGCACCTGTGAGCCGGCATCAGTCAATCACCTCACATGAGCCCGGAACACTGGGTGCCTCTGCTATCCTGCTACAAGCAAGTCAGGGGGTGGGATGTGTAAAGTGCCTCACAACCCGACAGTGAGCACCACAAACAGACTGTGCTCTTTTGCCTTTCTAATAATCCTTGAATTCTGAGACAGCGCACACAGAAAAAGTCTACCCTAAACAGCAGCCCCTGGCAACATCAGTTTCCTATTCCCACACTACTGCCTTACAGACTTGCAGAAACTCTGAAGGGTGCCCAGCTCCTGGCTGACACCAGCAAGCACCAAGCTCAGAAGGGTCTCGCTGGCTTTTTCTCATCCTGTGGCCAGAAACAGATGCAAATCTGCTCCTGCTTCACTCTGGGCCTTTTTTACTTTGAACGCTGACATCAAAAACAAAAACATAACGCACAAAACACTCACCACAGTGAGTCCTGCCGCCCCCAAGTTCAGCACACAATGTTGGGCTGCCCCAGAACAGACTGTGCCTGATACAGCCAGACCTGAATGCCCCCTCCCCTGTGACCACGCTCATGGAGGCCTGGCACCCCCTGGCCAGTCCCCATAGCTATCTCTGAGGAATGCCAGTGCACCGTCCCACATGTACCAATGCCAGCCAGAGGTCCTGTTACTGTAATTTTTCTATAATGTTTAAATTATTTATTGGAAATAAGTACCTTAGGCTCTTGAACTGAGCTGTGCTCTAAAATTATAGAGATCCATCAGAGCTCTGTAGGCTGCCTACAAATGAAAATGCATATCTCAACTATTTTAAGAAAATGTCAAAAAACATCAAATGTGTCATCGTCGTACCATTTAAAATTATCTGCGTGATATCTGCAAAAAAAAAGAGCTCTTTGAGTGCATGTGAACTTATCAGTGTACCCCCAAAGGCACACGCTGCCCAGCCACCTTCCTGAGGGTGCTAAGTCAAAGGTTCCTGTACCCAGCATGACCCCAGAACGTGTGCCTGCAGGACCAGCTGCCCTGTCACTTGTCACTCCCAGCTTGCCACCAGCACCCACCTCAGCCCTGCCACTTAGGAGACACATGTCTCCCAGGTGGGCAGGTTTCTCTGCACAAGGACTTCAGGGAATACTAGTTCCCCACAGGCAGGTCTTTGCACAAAGGCAAGGCCCTGGTTCCATAGCACAACCCAGTGCAAAGGCAGGGCATGTGGGTGGCACTGCACAGTCACCCAGGAGACTGAGAGGTCCCAGGGGCCAGGGCCCCCACCCACCTGTGGGGCAAGCACCTCACTTCACAAACTCAGCACACCACAGGCCTCTAGGAATTGCCACCCAGCTGGCACACCACCCATATAGGAAAATAAAAACATCAGGCGCCGGCCACAGTGGGCAGTGTCGTGCCTAAGTCTGGAGCTGTGGTGACCACGGACCCTTACCCCATGGGGCCCGCTGGAACCTGCTATGCCCACGGTGCTGCCACTAGAAACGCAGGACAGGTCGCTGTCCCACCCGGGTGGACGCAAAGAAATGCAATTCGCCCTACAAGAGCGCGCAGGGTCCGCAGGCGGCGTGGGTTCCCACTGTCCTCGGGAGTCCCCGCCGGGTGGCCACACTCACCGTCCTCCTTGTCGTCAAACACGGGCCTCCGCGCGGTAGCCGCCGATATGGACGACATGGACATCCTTTTCTTCCACTTGCTCCACGGAAACAGGGGGCGCGGTTGCGCACGGGCATCGCCCGCGTCCCGGGCTCGGGGCTGGCTGGCGGCGGGCGGCAGGGCCGGGGGTGCATCGGGGCCGGCGGGGCGCGCGCGGCCGGGGGCGGCGAGCCGGGGGACGCCGCGGCGCTGCTGCCCCTGCGCTCGGCGCCGCTCCTCATCTCCAAGCCTGGATGCGCGCCGCGGCCGCAGCCCGGAGCATGGCCCGCGGCGGGCAAGGCGGGATCGGGGCGCCAGCAGCCGGCAGCGCCCGCCGTGCGCCCAGCCTCGCGCTCGCTCGCTCGCTCGCTCTCCTCGCCGGGGCCGCCGACCCGCCCCGCGGCCCGCTAGCGCAGGGGGCGGGGCGGGGTGGAGCCGAGCTCCGGGGCGGGGGCGGGGACCGGGACGGGCGGGGATCCCGCCGGGTTGGCGCTGGGAGCGGCGCGCGGAGCCTCGTGCCCGCCGAGATCTGGGGAGACGGGGAGGTGTCCGGTCCGTGTGGGCTTGGGGGCCCTGGCACCGACCAGACAGCGGGATCAGGAGCGAGAGAGGACAGGAGAGTCCCCTTGCGGCCGGGGTCGCGGAGACGGGGACGGCTCTGCCTGGCACGGCGGCGGAGACCTTCTCGCAGACCCGGCCGGAACGCCGTGACCCTCGGGGACTCGGGGTCCTCCTGGGCCTTCCCACCCGCTCTGCCTCGGTGAAAAAAAGCCGCCCGCACACTTCCGCCACTCGATTCCGGGAAACCCCAAACTTCGGCCTGCGGTTCCGCGCTTTGCCCGGGATGGGGACCGCGGGAAGCGGCCGCGCTGGCCGAGCCAGGGTCAGAGTCAGGCTCAGGACCCGCAGGCCGGACGCGATGCCGCTCGACGGCTGCAGGCGGCGCCAGAGCGCAACGCCGTGGGAGGGGGGTGGGGCGGGGCCAGCCGGGCGCGCGCGCCCGCACGCGGGGACCCGGCTGCAGCGCGTGCACACGCCCAAGCGCGCGCACCTGGGGTCCTCCTGGCGCGGAGCACGCGCGCACGCGCTTCGGTACCCTCGGCTCGGTTCTCGGTCCTCTCTCAGCCGGGCCCGCCCGGTGCCATTCTAGGGCGGAGTCCCCCTGCGCAGGTCAGCGGACCCCAGACCTCCCAAATAAACCGCGCAGGCCGCGCAGAGCCCAGCCCTTAGGGGCTGGGGCACCTCTACCCACCCCTTTGCTAGGCATGATGCATGCGACCTTGTGAGTAAAACCCTCGGCGTTTGAAAGCCGTCTAGTTTCCTGCGACTAAAGCCCTGTCATTTAAGGAATCGGCTCTGTCACTCAGTTGTCTGAGTTTTGGAAGCCTTTGCCTCCTTAGGGTCCACCCTATAGCCAGGTCACAAAGCCAGCTGTTTCTTCCTGCCCTGTGAAGTCCTGCAGGGGCCTTCATGATGCCCCACAAAGAGGAGCAGATCACCACCGCAGGTGGCCACCAGGCCCAGCAGGTCCCTCCCTCTGCACAGTTTCCTCAGCTTCCTTCCGCCACCTTTGAAATTCAAGGTGGCCACCTAAAGTGCTTGACCAATGAAATGTGAGTATAGGTGGCCTGTGCCCTTTCTGGGCAACATCCCAACAGCTAGAACCTGACTGGCCACACATAATACCCCCTTGGTTGAAAAGGAGCCCCTAACTCTTGGGGAGGACCCCCGTGGACACACAGAAGAAGGGAGATACCAACCAGCAGGTTAAGCTACTGAAATTTATAATTTGGAGGGTGTCATCAATGCAAAGGGTCAGGTTGGCCTGACCCTCTACCACATGTCTCCTTGCCTGCTTGGCACACCTGATCCAGTCTCTACTCTCCAGGGCAGAGGTAGGTGGAAATGAGTCCCAGCCTCCATCCAGCCAACACTTAGCTCTGGCCATTGCCCATCCTAGGGTGTGAAGGAACTGGGCGTAAGACCTGCACTGAAGAGGCTGAGTATTCATTCATGCAGGAGCAAGCAGAGGAAAGTTTCTAAGGGGTCCCAGGCAGGCAAAGCACCCCCTCCCTGCATATCAGAATTCCCAGCAAACACTGTGGTAGCATCTGACTCCACCTCCTTGCCCTTGCAGAACCTCTGAAAATGGCAGAACAGGAATGTCTTAAGAGACAGAAGGAACAGGAGAAGGGAGCTTCATAAGGGGAAAAATGCTAACAGCCTTTAGCTATTACACCAAAGGTTGGACAGCCTGAGAACTTGCAGATGAGAGGGAGAAGTGGGGACACCAAAGAAGGGCTGGGAAGTCTGATTACAGGGCATCAGAACTCCAGCACTTCCCCCATTGGGGTGACCCCCACTGAGGGCAGTTGGGATTGGACAGTCCTCTGCAAAGGAACTAGAGGAGCTCCTGGTGCAGGGACACCAGGTGCAGCAGAAGACGGAGGGACTGGGGACATTCCTGGGTATGCCTGCAGGCTGAGCTGGGAGACCATTTGGAGCCCCAAACCCAACCAAGCGCTTGCCACCAGTCAGGAAACAGAACCTCCTCTGGGAAACTAAGCAGCCCCTAAAAGACTGCTGGACCTAAGACTTGGGGTTCCTCAGCAGACCCCACAGGAAAGAGGGACCCACTGGTAAAAGGGCACTGCAGCTGGCCTGCCAGCTCAGCACCACTCCCCAAATGTCCAATGTGATGACAATCTTGTTAACTTGGTTGGATGGAGAGCCACCTAGGCAATTAGTAAAGCATGACTTCGGGTGGATCTGTGAGGGTGTCCTGCATATGGGAGGCAATCTAATAGGGTGGGGCTCATCCTATTATGCCCTATTAGAATAAAAGGGGAAGGATGAAGTCAGCTTGTACAGGTCTTCTCTCCCTGCTTCCTGGCTGCCATGAGGTGAGCAGCTCTGCTCCACTACGCCCCTCCGCCATGATGTTCTGCCTCACCACAGGCTCAGAAGCAATGGAGCCAGCTGACCATAAACTGTAACCTTGAGCCAAAGTAAATTCTTCTTGAACTTGTTTCTCTCAGGTATTTGTCATGGTGATGAAAAGTCTGACTAACACACCAGGTGACCCCTGTATCCAACCACAGCCCAGGGCCCAGGGATACACAGGATCGGATGGCAAGAGCCAGGCTAAATGAGGGGTGCCCAGCTGGTCACGAGATAGGAGCTGCTGGACCTAGCAGCATGACACATCCAGAGCCCCACCAAGGAGCCAATGACATTCTAGGGAGGTAGGAAGGACTGAGGCTAGAATGGGGGCAACCACAAATAGGAAGGGGGCAGTGAGGCCAATGAGGGTTCCGTGGCCCCGCACCATTCCCGAGCACTTCTCCCTTTACAGTATAAACCCCAAATCCCAAATCTCACTCCATTAGCCATCCCAAAGCTCATCATCTGTGTCAGGTGGGTAAGACCCCCACCCTCTTACCCACAGTTTCACTTTCCATGGTTTCAATTAGCCTTGGTCAGTTGCTATCCAAAAATATTAAATAGGAAATTCCAGAAATGATTCATAAGTTTGAAATTGCTCATATTTTCAGTCGTATGAAGTCGCTAACCATTCGACACTGACCTGTTCAGGATTTGAATCACACCCCCGTGTCCAGGGTGTCTACGCTGCGTCTGCTACCCATGTACTGGTCACAGAGAGGCTATCTCAGTTGTTGGAGCCACTGTACGGGTACCATAGTGCTGTGTTCAGGCAACCCTTATCTTAGTAATGGCCCCAAAGTACGAGGGTTAATGATGCCAGTGATTCAGCTATGCCAGAGAGAAGATAAACGTGCCTCCTGTGAAGGTGAAAGTTCTTGACTGTTATTAACAGGCAAAGAAAAACATCGTGTTCCGAGGATGCTGAGAGCGATGGTAAGAATCTTTAATCTGTGAAACTATGAAAAAGGAAAAGAGAAATCGCCGTTACTTTTGCTGTATCACCTCAAACTGCAGAAGTTACCGTCACAGCATGTGACAGGTGCTCAGAGGGAAGAGACATCCAGTTGTGTGTGCTTTTTTTATAGGGTTAAGCATATCCTTGGTTTCAGGCTGCCATGGCAGGGGGGCGTCCTGGAAGACACCCCCTTGAGTAAGGGAGACGGCTGTATGGGTGAGACTTGGTGTGATCCATCCTGAGGCAAAGTCCCTCTCCATCTGGAAACCTGAACTGGAAAACAAGTTCTCTGCTTCCAAGCTGCAAGGCTGGGACAGGCAGCAAGCCTTTCTTTCCAAAGGGAGAAGTAGGAAGGAGTGAAGGAGCTGCCAGTCCTGAGTGAGTTCGATTCCTGCAGGGAGAAGTCCACTGGGTTTCTGCCTGACAGAGACATGCTCCACCCTCCAGACCTCCCAGTGGCCTCTGGGCCTCCCTGAGTCAGTGTCCCTCTTTGTAGAAGGGTAGCACACACATTTTCAAAGAAGTAGTTCCCGCCCATTTCCTGCTTACAGTCTTGAAAGTGAGTCTGACGGCCTGCCCTCACTTTGTCCTCAATCTGTCCAAAGCTTTCAGTCCAAGCTGGCTGTGTTTCTGCTGGTAGAACCTTCTCAAAAACTGTGAGTCTCCTGTGTATGTCCGAAGAGTCCCCTGCGATCGTGTGCAGGGCCTGCGGATACCCCAGACCCCGTCTCTGCTCCTGAGTGAGGTAGCTGACTGGGTTCATGACTCAGAGCCTAACCCCTTCAGCAAAAGGTCGTCCAGGCGAACGCCCAGCCTCTACTCAGGACATATTTTTCCCAAAAAAATCAGTGAATTTCCTAATTGTAATACCCTTTGCAACCTAGATTATTTGAGGCCAAGAGGCTCTTGAATAACTAAGTGCTAGCCTGTTTTTGCTTAATGGATCTTTACTTTTCTCCTTCCTGTGCATTTTACCCTAAGCAGTGAGAAACCAGCCCACACCTATAACACTTGGTCTGGAAGACTCCTCAACTAAATATCCAAGATCTTCACCCACAAGTTCTACTTTCCACCCAACCATTCGTTCCAGATTTCTGCCCTGTCATAATGGGGAAACATTTCCTCCAGTTTTCTACTGAAAATTTCCTCATTTTCACCCTGCCCGTGTCCCCACTACCCATCTCTTTCAGGCCTTTTAACTGATTGAATGAGGCTCACCCAGAATATCAGAGATCATCTCCTTTACTCAGTCAACTGAATGTAGGTGTTAGACCTGCAAAATGCCTTTACCGCAGCACCTAGACTATTGTTTGACTAAGCAACTCCTAGACAAGTGGACACACAGACCCATCCTACACGTGGTAAAGGACCAGCAGCACCTCAGGGAGGATGGGCACTTTGCCACGCAGATGGGAGCATTTGGATGGGCCCAGAGGA